CCCTCCCCTCCCTGTTTTCTTCTCTGTGGCTTCAACCGTGCCATCCTCTGCTCTGCCTGTTGGACACCTCTGAAGAGCCTTGTGGCAGGTGTGAGTAGCTGGGCACAAATGCACACACACACACACAGACACACAGACACAGACACACAGACACACACACAGACACACACACACACACGTGCAGGCTGTGACATGCAGTGTCTCAGCACAGCATTTATCTCCCTTTTGCCCCTGTGAGAGAGCACAGCCAATCAACAGTAGGTGAAGGCTGAGCACAGTGGCCTGCGTTAACAACTCCTGTCTGCTCACTGAACTCCTGTTGCTGGTAAAATTCTCTTCATCCTGAACCAATGAAATTCCTGGACAGGATGAAAGTCTGGAAATCTGACCTCTCAGATCTTCAAGACCCTTCTGCAGGTAAATCTTGTCGTAGTGCTCTATATGATTTTAACAGTTAACTTCTTCCCCAGCAACCAAATTCTCCTTGCTGTAAGTTCCTAACTGTTTGTACCTGAAGAAATAATGATTTTCTCATTCTTATTAGAACTGTACTTTCTCCCTCCCTCTCTTTGACTTCTCCCTTTCCTTGCATTCTAGGCAACTAAAGTTCAGCTTGCAACAGGAAAAAATCAACAAAAATAGAATATATACAAATAACTGCAGTTGGCAAGTGAATTACAATTTTGTGCTCAATGTTTAGTTTATAATGCAGAATTAACAATTTGTACAAAAAGAGTCACAAAATTTTTCACAATATTATTTAATGTATATTTAAAGGTATGTTTTAAGGATACAGGAGTATACATACTTTCATTTCAACTTTCATGATCTGAACAGCTGCTATTAGTAAAATGCAGCAGTACTGCTGGTTTCTGGTCTAATTGTAGAACTGGTGTCAGTAACTCATTTAAACTGAAAAAAAAAGGTGGACTTGTGTTTTTAGAAACTTAACAAAATCGTAGTATGTGCTAATACAGTTGGAAGACATTAGTTTAGGAGCAAAATATAATGCCTTATTTAGTCTATTCAGGAAGGGTGAAAAGGTCACTCAAAATATTTTCTCTTCTGAAAATTGATTTTCTTGGTGAAAAGAAGAGCCCCAAAGAAAGTTTGTCTTCCTAAAATTTTAAGCCTCCTTTTTGTGTGCAATTATTTTCTTTTGTCACTGCTTATTACAAGCAGAAGAAGAAAACTCTGTTTGTGTGGAGCTTCAGCAAACCGAGTGGCACCTAGGAACCTCTCTGCTGTAGAGCTGAGACAGCTTTGCAGTTTTGAAAAGTTTGCTAAGGTCATTAGTTATTTCTGATAGAGAGCATTACTTTTTAAGGGAATGAAAGAATCTCTGAAGAAACAGTATCAACTAAACATTGGAGGCCAAAACAACAGCAACAACAACAACAACAACAACAACAACAACAACAACAACAAAACCCCAAACCAAACAAAAATGAAAAAACTGAGAAAGTCTGAAAATCTCTACCAATGAATGGGGACTAAACTTTCACATAAGAGTTATTTTGACTTCGAAGTGTTTGTAGCAAGGGTAGGAGGGGATGGGGAGAAATGATACCATTATTTTATTATTCCTTCAGATGATTTTCTCAACTTCAACTATTTCCCTGCTGTAGAATTTCAGTTTAGTTGCTTGATTTTTTAAATCTTGGACAGTTCCTTTACACTTTTCTATGCTTCTATATTCCTGATATTTGCTTTCCAAGAAAAATATTGAAAGATAACATATTTCAAAAATATGAAATCTTGTACTTTTTTCTCCTCTAAATACCTTATATCAGATAGGCATAGGCAAAATATGATGAGCTAACATGCTGCCAAAGAGGCTGGTGGAGGATAACAAGCATGTGAGCACTTCCCTTCTAAGGAGAGGCTTATGGACCTATCCTGAGTGCTGCCACCTCCTCCTACTTTCTGTTCAGGAAGCGAGATGATGTGACCATGGGCAGAGCAGACAGCAGTGGCAGTGTCTGGCATGAGCAGCAGAAGGCAGAGTCTATTTTTATCAAATGCAACGATAAATTTTTATTTAACATTTCTGAAAAGCTCACACGTGGCGTGTCACCCGCAGCCATGCAGGGGTGAAGGAGTGTGGGTGTGATTTTTTCCCCGTAGAAGGGCTTCTGGGAGAGGGAGGTTTTCATCCCACACATACCAGGCTGAAAGCAAAGAAACTGTATTTAGAAAGGTGCTAAATAAAGTAAGTGATTGAACAGAGGAGAAGGAGGATGAAAGAACTATGCTGAAGCTGCTGTCAAAATAAAATGGGACAATTGCTTAAAACAAAAGCCTGGAATACTGTAGCGTACTTAGATGATTTAATTAGAACTACGTAGGCCTGATTTGCCATTGTTTGTACCTTATATAATCATATGAATTGTTCAAGGTACCATATTGTAATAAGGGGAGATATTTACATTATTCATCAAGAGTGAAAATACATTAATGTTGCTGCACATATTCAAATAAAATATATATGCAAACAAATAAAGAAAAAAAGTCATGATGTCTGTGTTTGAAAATGGTCATGATAGAATGGAGAGCAGCCAAGAATCTCCAAACTTTCTATTTTAATTTGGCTGTTTGTACCTTGTTCTCATTATTAACATAATATTCATTATTTGTATGCTTGCAAGTTATACAGTTGTATCAAGATTTCTACATGGAAAATCCTCACTGAATTTGCAAGGCCACGTTAGCTTTGTAATGTACCTGTTATAGTATATGGCAATGTTGTAATATTATATACTATCAAGCAACTGGGATATGTTGTTTGGCAAATATAACACAGGATAATTTTAACACAGAATAAATTTTAAGACAGAAGGGATTTTCATCTGTTTGGTGGAAATGTTTTATCTCTTTGTTCCCAGTTGACTGTATGTGCAATGTACAATTTTCTAGCAAATATATGGCAAAGCAGCAGGGAAGAAGGCTGGCTGTTGTACAGTCCTATCATTTGGGTCAGGGGGGAAATGCTCTGGAAGGTGGGTGGCAGCATCATCATACACAAAATTCCCTATATTGTATGTTCACATAGGAGAAACACCTGGGGTTCAGGGTGACACTGTAATGAAACAATTAGGACAGCAGGGATGTACCCAGGAGAAGATGGGGAGATGTCAACGCTCCTGAGGGGAATGTGGGCAGCAGTAAGGGTTGCTCTACTGGTGGAAAACCAGAGCAAAGACTGCACAATGAAGGGCAAGACTCCTTTGGCAGGAATATGTGGTCTATTGTAAAGCAGGCTGTTGCTGGAAGTTAGTGGTCTGAGGAAAGGATCTGACCTTTAAGAATACAGTGTTCCAGGGAGAGGATGGGTTTAATTGCTTTTTCATTTACCCCTCTTTGCTAGCAAATCTGAATGAGTCTGCTGATCTGTATCTGCAAGGTATATAAAAAAAAAATTAACCTGATTTAATGTAGTAAATTTTGAGGGAATGCACTTTAAGGAACTATTTTATAAGTGTAGAGTCCCATCATAGCAGTCATTCAGTCTAATTGGAATAATACTTAGACTTTCAAGAGTAAATTCTTGCTGGAATTTTCATGATAACTTAAATGATTATCCAGCCTTTGCAGTCAACTTCAGTAATAGAGATTTAGCTGTCTTTGGCAAGCTGTGTAAAGAGTTAATTAGCTTCACTGTGTTGTACCTTCTGTTTGGTTTAGTGAATTTATCTCTCTTCTGTCCTTGGTTGTCATTAACTTTCAATCTCCTTGATTGCAGTCTACATGGATTTTCAAGTTCTTCATTAATTATTTTAGGTAAACTCATTAGACAGTGTTCCTTTTGTCTTTCTACATTTCAACATTTTAATCATATTTCAGGTCTCCAAAGGCAGAGGGAATGTAATTTTTCTGTGCTGTATTCCATTGATAAAAAATTGCAGGCTAGACTTTTTCACTCTCTGTTTCACAGAGACTGAGAGGCTCTCTGAAGCTACAGACTCCCACAATGGAGTCTCCATCCTGTCTACAGGAATCACTTATTCCTAGGTAGCCTACTTACCTTCCAGTGGTTGCCACGCAGAGAGAAAAACACATTAAAAATATATTGCAGTGACTTTTTACTTTAAAACATCTAATTTAAAAAATCTCATTGAAGAACTTGAAAGATTGATCCTTTTATGGTGTAAGAAAAACAGAGTGATCATTAGTCTTTTCCAACATTAAAGTCTTCAGCAAGGTGACAGTGCTCATCCTAGATGATGGGATACAGGCATTACAAAGCTGACTTTAGAAATCAAGTGGCTCTGAATGTCAGAGAAACTGACAATCTTTCTATGGCAGACTTCTAAATATTTACTTTCTTAAGTGGAAACCAGTAAATTATATTAATAAAAACAATAACTCAAAGGGATTTTATTCAAAATTATTTAAGATATATCTAACGTTTCTGTGTGGTTGAAGTCTTGAATTTTTCTGGAAGTCTTGTTTCATACCACAGACAGGCAGGCAGACCATACAGATTTTTCCCAAGTAGAGTGTATGAATAGATAAGTTTTTGTTTTTTTTTAATTTAGGTGATATGAGTTTTGTGAATGGGAGAATTGCAGCTCTTAGGTTGGAATGTCTTTTAACATAACTTACTAAAGCATGTCCTGAGGGTCACATCAAACCTTTTTCTTATTATAACTAGTGTGAAAGAAGAACAAGATTACGCCAAGTTTAATTAGATTGGCCCCATGATTTATGCTGCTGAATATTTGCTGAAACTGTTAACAGAACATTCATGTGCTCAAAGTTTACAGAAATAGACTTCTTGCCATGTCATCACAGACTCAGAGTTCCATAAAGACTGTTTTGTCTAAACGTGCACAAAAATAAAGTCATAGATAAGTAAAAATTATATTTTCCAGCATTTCAAATTATTTCAATATCATTCTGCAGTAAGTCAATTTCATTAATATTTGCTGTAATGGAATTGTGGATACTAAACTTCCCTTGAATTAATTATAAGCAGGTTTTTGCTGGGTTTTGTGTTTTTCAACAGATGCTTTTGAAGTGTGTGAGAAACAAAATAATCCCATGTTTACCAAGCCAGGAGGAAATGTTGCTTTTACTTGCACTGATAAAATTGGAGATTCAGTGAAGCGAGTGGTGTGGGAAAGGATTAAAGCAGATTGGGTAGATTTTGTCATTCTGTGCAACTCATCAGGAAAGCAAAGCTTTTTTTGGTTTAGATTTCAAAGAATGTACACCAGTGGATTGCTCTGATCAGGAAAACTCCAGGATTATCTTTCAATACATTACAGCCTCTGACTTTGTGATATACTTCTGTGTAGCTGCTGGGAGAAACAAAAACTATATGATGAATTTTACTGTGGCTGGTAAATACAGGAGAAAATGGTAAATGTTTTCAAAATAGGACCTTCTGAGGCATTAGCACTTTTAAACAAATAAAATAACTCTTCAGTACCAAGTGAGGATTTATTTGAATACCGCATTCCAATTAGCAGCGTGTAAAAGATAGCAAAGTTAACGATAAATCTTTTCTCAAAAATAAGCTGGGTTTAAGCTTGTCTGATCTCATTGCAGCACTTTAGACCTGTTTGTGAGAAACTGGTTTGATACTAACAATCACAGAATAGAACAGACTCATGGAATTATTCAGACTGGAAAAGACCTCCAGGATCATCAAGCCCAAACTTTGACTGGGCACCATCTTGTGAACTCAATCATTCCCATTGTTTCTTGAACACTTCCAGGGAGATTGGCTTCATTGCCTGCCTGGGCAGACTGTTTCAATGCCTGACCACCTTTTTCTGGTGTCCAACCAAAACATCCCCTGGTGAAGCTTCAGGGAGTCTCTTGTCCTGTCACTGGATGCCTGGGAAAAGAGACCAACCCTCACCTGGCTACAGCCTTTTCAGGTGATTGTAGAGAGTGATAAGGTCTCCTCTGATCCTTCTTTTCTCCAGGCTAAACAACCCCAGTTCCTTCAGCTGCTTCTCATATGTCTTACAAGAAGGAGATGCTTTTGAAGGGGAGCCTGAGCTTGCAGGAAGAGGTGGGCATTCTCCCAGAGAAGGCTCAAGGAGAATTCCCCATCAGCACATTATACTGCAGGGTCTTGAGGATGAGACCTGTCCTCCAAAAAAGGCAAAGACCACACTCATAGTTGCATTTGTCGTGTAGAAATTTGTAAACTGGGCTCCACCTTATTCAGGTAAGGGGTTTCCTCATGGAGAGCTGAGAAGCTCTCTAGGTTTTGCTGTTACTATTGTCACAGCTTGCTTATAATGGGACCTACATGTCCCAAGACAGAGACTCTTGAAATTTCTCCAACTGTGTGTTTAATTCCACCTTTACTTCTATTTTTTGTTATGACCCTCCCTCCCCATCCAGAAAAAAAGAAGACTTGGTTTTGCTTCTTCTCTATAGAAATAGAATGCATTTTGAAGATCTAATCCTCACACCACCCCAGACCTTCTTCTGCTGCAGCATTTGGTCCAGCTTTTATTGCTCTATCCTTGTTCCTGGTGATACATGAGTGTTTGGCAGTGCTGTGGCATGGTCTAAAACTCCAGAAAAAAACTCCAGTTTAAATTCTGATATGGTTAATTGAGAAGAGGAGAATATGCTTGGAAAAAAAACCCATGATGACCTGCTTTACTTTGAATACTTGACACAAAAATCCATGGAAATGAGCAGAATGTGATAAAAATACAGAAAACAGGACAAAAAGTCCTCACCTCTAACGATTTTAAACATTCAAATTTCAGTACTTTGACTATATTGATATAATCAAGCATGTCTTATTTGTGGAACAATATAAGTATTTCCTTCTTACTCCTAAGTGCAGCACTCCTAACACCAAAATGAAAACATGTAGTTGCAAAAAATACAGTAACCTTCAGAATGATCATTTGTACCTATACAAAATATTTCTTCTCCAAAAGTAGAAAGTTTAGTTTCCATGCTTCTTTTGCTCTTGAAACAACTTCAGTTTCTGATTTTATTCCTAGCAACAGTAGCACAGTTGTGGCTGTTTATTGGAGAAAAGAATATGAAAACATTGAAGAATATGAAGTACAATATGATTCAGAAAACACTTCATTGTATCCCTTTTAAGCCTTCACCCTCTATTATTAAGTGCAGTTTGTTAAGTCTTCATTAATTTCAAAGAAAGTGAAATATCAAGGATTTCCTATTTTTTCTCTTCAACATTTGGAACTTTTTCATAAGATACAATCAATATTTTTGATGTGATATGGAAAAAACAGTAAGTGGAGAGAAACAGCAGGTCAGGCATGAGCTCCCACTGCACCCTGTGGCACAGACAGTGAAGACTCTCACAAACTCATGAGTGACTTACTCTGCTTGATCCAACAGTTGTGGCTAGAATAAACAAACTGCTGCCAGAAACTCGCTGCACAATTTTTTTTTTTTGTGTATGTTCTACCAGCTCAGTCATGCCATTTTCTTTGGCTTAGCATTACAGCTAAGCCACGCTCCAGCTCGGATTTTCTACCAAACTCTTCCAACGCTTTAAGCCTGTTGGTGTGATTCTGCATGGGTGAAGTGATTCTTCTCGCCTTATCCAGTTCCAGAGTTATTTTGAAGTACTGAGTCTAGAAGGTGGGAGGAGAGCAGGAGAGCTGCTGTTTAGGTTTTAGGTTGAGAGAGTAAGAAAAAAGATAAGAACCCCTCTTTTTTTTTTTTTTTTTTTAAGCTGTTGCTGAGAGGAGCTCAAGAACTTTTGAAGAGCAGGAATCTTAGGTGAAAGGCTGTATTAAGAGCACAGGATTATTTTCAGAAGAGCTGGCAGTCCAAAAACTGCTGATTCTGAGAGGTGGTATGGTAGAAAGAAGCAGTATGCTTCTTGTCTAGAGGTGAATGAATTTTTACAAAGAAAACAGCATGGAATTCTTGTTAAGAAAAAAGGGAGAGAAGAAGGAATAGATATTCAAGTCCATCATGAAAACATTTCTTGTAGTTGTATCAGTAAAAGTCAGCAAGCTGCATTTAATGTTTTTGAATGCTAGCAAAAATTAAACCATGAGATTAATTCAGTATCACTAAGTTTATCCACTCTATCCCACTAAATATTGTGACTGTTGTTTTCCAGAAACAGGAATTTACAGGTTAAATTGGACTTCTGCATATATTTTTTGACCTCAAAACCTGTAACATTTAAAGCAGTGCATTTGTAAAATAGTGTAGTTCTTGTTGCATGACTCTTACAGAAACAGACAAATATTACATATTTATACAATGTGTTCAAGAGATTTTGGATTAATTTCTGATGTGTTCTTCACCATAACTCTCCTTCTAAAAAGTCTTTCAATTTGGAGATCAGTCACGATACCAGATTCCACATTTCCACATCTGAACCCATTTTTCGTGCTTTTCTTACCACGCTTTTTCCTTTGAGACAGTCTTTGAAAAAAAGGAAGGAGACTTGCAATCCACATATTGTTTTGGTAGATGATTGGGAAAGAATGGGACATGTCATATGAAAAGAATGAAAAATTAGCAGGGCTGAAAGAGAAGTACTTATTCCCTCCTGAAAACACAGATGTTTTCAGAGATTTAATAAATTTTTTCTCACTTAGCAGAAAACAGAGTAGCAAGTTCTCTTGGGCAAAGTAAAACAGAAAGGTGTTTTTGTGTGGTCCCACTAGATCTGAAAAATGGGTTAGTGGTTGTATTTACATGCATGTTTAGGGGGTTACATTACAGGTTGTACTAGTCCTTTCCCTAGCTTTGTTGCCCTCCTCTGGACACATTCAAATACCTCCACCTACTTCTAAATTTATGAGGCTCAGAACTGCACATAGCACTCAGGGTGAGATTACAGCCTGGATGAATACAGTAGGGTAATCTTCATTAGCATCCAGATGAAAAGCAGGGAAGTACTTGTACCGTCACTGGGGTTTACCATACATTCCTTGAGAGCTGGAAGGAGACAGCAGGGCTTCTGGGCCACGGGACACAGACAGAAAATAAGAACTGAACTAAGGGGTGAAGAGAACCAGGATAGGAGTGAAATTATCTTCCTTCTTCCTTCATGAAGTCATTGAACATGAATACGAGGTATCAAACCATCTCTGTGGGTCTCCACACAACCAACCACCATTCCCTGGGCTCGAATGCATTCGTGCTGGATTTCTGCCTTTCAGCAATGGGGTAAACTATTTCAGTGATACCCAGTTAGGATATCATACATGCCAGTCCAGCAAGGCACGTGACAAAACACACGAAGGTCTTGACAGAGCAGTTCGAATCTCTTGCTAAGACAACTCTCCGGCCCATCAGTGCTTCCTCCTCCAAAACCAAAGTTAGTACACTGAAGGTTGAAATGTGTCCTGCAAAAAAATTTCCCAAACTTGCAGGGAAATACTAATACTTGACAGAAATTGTACTGATGCTGAAAATATACTTAATAACCTCCTGTCAGCATAACACCTTTGTTGAGAACATAAGAACTAAAGAGACACATGACAAGCCTCTGACATGTTTCTGCAAAATCTTGACTGGGATGTTAAAGTCAGTAATTACAAAAGGTTTTGTGTAGTTAAAGAAAACAAATGCCTAAGGGAGGTTTTGCTCACTTCAAATGAGAAAAGGCACATGGGCTTTCAGTTGTTGTTAGTTAAAAGAAAAATAATCTAGTGATTTTTCTCATCCAGATTTAATTGACAGTGGATAATCTCAGCTCTCAAACTCATTAACTCAGAGATTATAACCATAACCTGATAAAACTGAAGGTGAAACTTCAGAAAAAAAATTAAAAGTCTGGAGCAGTTAAACTGAAGGTGGGCATGCTGCTGAAATCCACAACTGTATCCAGAGTCACCCATCCTTGATGACAATCAAATAAAATATTTAATTTTTTTTCCCTTGTTACTTATAGGATGGGGTTTGTTTGATTTACTGTAAGTACTCTCTGGCACAGACAGCAGCTTTCTCTGGTAGGTAGTATAACAGCTGGTCAAAAAAGACATTATAATTTTTCCTGAATTTGGAGGTAGGTGTATGAACCATCCTGTCAGTTCAAGTACTCATGAGCTGAAAACATTCTGCAGTAGAGTGATTTCATACATGGTTATAAGACAAAAGGTCTTGGTTTGTGTTATCAGGCAGCCTTCTCTAACAGTGTCACATACCTTCACTAGCGTAAACTTCTGAGAGAATTTTCTTTCTTTGTTCTTTCCAGTAAAATAGCATTGGATTCAAGGATAAGACTCTTCTGTAATCAGTATTTTTTGTTATCCTTTTCAATGAACACATTAATACTAAAGAGGCATGCCTGAGCAAGTCTCATGTGGAATTCAGGACAGCCAGATAAGAAGATGTGAACCTTTTTGATCCCGGAGAGGAAAGCCATCTGGTGACAGCTCAGCAGTTGGTTGGCTGGGATTACTGTCATTAGTGACACTGATTGCTTTCCTTTGCCTGTGAACTAAGCACATAACTTGTCTACCCCAATGGAAACACTTCAGGGCAGCTGTGGTTTCATTGTAGAGTAAGGAGAACATTAAAGAGAGAGTACACCTGAAGACAGAATTTAGCTCCCATTCACCAATGAATAGCTGAGAGCTTGAGCTGTGGATTACCTGTGTGACTTTGATAATATTACCTCTGTTCTTTTCTCCAATGCTTTTCACCTAAAAAATAAGTATTACCTCACCACAGACTTGAGCACTATAAGAATAAATCGGCTTATACCTCGAAGCCATTTTCTTGTCTGTCTCTACCTTTAGTTATTACAGGTTGTTATTTAGTTTCATTTGAAGATATGACTCCATTCCAAAGAAATCAATGCATTTCAAGCAAAGTTACTATAACTTTAACTTTTCCTGCCTAGGTTGCAGTTTTCAAAGAAAGCCTTTTTACTTAGGCTAGAACAAATGGGGCAGGTTTCCTGATATCTGTCATTGATACTAAGTGATTAAAAAAAGGTGGATGATAACAGGAGAAATTTTTGTGAAATTTTTTTGTTAAAAACAGATTTTTTTTTTAATTAGAGCAGAAAATAACTGATACCATTGCATGCAGTACTGAACAGAAAATATCTTGAGCATTGAGATGATCTTCTTGATACTCTGAAAAATAACTCGCTGCGCATGTAAATACTGAATGATTGTTTGGTGTCTCCTATGGGACAGCCTTTACAATCACAGAACCACAGGGTCAGGTTGGAAGAAACCACAGTGGTCAACTGGTTCAACCTCCCCACTCATGCAGGGTCATCCTGGAGCACATGGCACAGCACTGTGAATATCTCCAGTGAGGAAACGTCCACAGCCTCCCTGAGCAATCTGTCCCAGTGCTTGGGCACTCACACAGTAAAGAAGTTCTTCCTCACATTCAGATGGATCTTTCTGTGCATAAGTTTCTGCCCATTGCCTCTTGTTCTACTGTTTAACACCACTGAGAAAAGCCTGGATTCGTTAATTTTCTTGGCACCCTCCCTTCAGATACCTACGGACTTACAGGTTGGACTTGATGATCTCAAAGGTTTTTCCCAACCTAGCTGATTCTGTGATGCCATGACATTGATGATGTCTCCTCTCAGTCATCCCTTCTCGAGGCTGAACAGGCCCAGATTCCCCAGCCTTTCCTCATAAAAGGCACTCTTATCCAGCCCCTGGATCTCCTTTGTTGCCCTGTGCTGGACCCACACCATGAGCTTCATGTCTCTCTTGCATTGAGGAGTCCAGAGCTGGACATAGCACTCCAAATGTGGCCTCACTAGGGCTGAGTAGAGGGGCAGGATCACCTCCCTTTACCTGCTGGAATGTTCTTCCCAATGCACCCCAGGATCCCATTGGCCTTCTCGGCCAAAAGATCACATTTCTGGCTCATGGACAGCTTGTTGTCCACCAAGACCCCCATGTCCTTCTCTGCAGAGTTGCTTTCCAGCACATCAGCCCCAGCCTGTACTGGCGTGTTGAGCTATTTCTCTCCAGGACCCTGCATTTGCCCTCATTGAATTCCAGACAGTTCTGTGCCCATCTCTCCAACCCACTGAGGTCCTTCTGTAGGGCAGCTTTCAGACAACCCTCTGGGGTGTCAGCCACTCCTCACAGCTTTTTGTTAGCCAAGAACATTCTCTTAAGTAGACTGAGAACTTTCATTAACCATATATTGAGTAATTTATGTATGAACTGCTTTCTCACTGGGGAGGGAAGGAGACAGAAAAGGATTATTCAAAGTATAGCTATTTTTTTTTTCTTATCACTGTGCTGTGTTCACTCACCTTTGGTCATCCGAGTCACAACTTTGTTAAGAGCTGCTTCAGCATAACAAAGGCTTTTTAGAAATGAGGAAATTGCTGTAAAGTCTGAATATTGACATGAGCTGTCATGGAATAATGTCTTTATATAATCATTGATTTTTCAGCTTAGTTTGTAACAAAAAGTTAATGCTGATTTATATTTTTACAAATTACCAATTCTATTTACTGAAATCATATTTTAGCAGCTTGGGATCACAAATGGTTTATTACCTACCTAGCTGAAAGGATTTCTGCTGCTGTTTTAGTGTTAGATTTCTTACTGATCTTCTGCACCACTACTGCTTATCACAAAAAAATGAGTAACAAATCGATTTGCATAATATACTGAAGCAGGTAAGGATGGATGTGTTAACAGCTCATCCTACTATCCCCCTCAGAACCAAAAAAAAAAAAAGGTATACGTAAAAAATTTAATTTTTTCACCAATATTTTAAACTTGAAAAAACCTATCACTTCTACAGCCTGTGAAAAAGTAACATTTACTGGTTTTTTTTTTCCCTTTTTTCACACTGGGGAAACAAATGGCATACTCAAGGTCCCTTGTCAGCTAAATGCTTACTGTGGTATTAGCTGAAACAGCATGTTAAGGGTGATTTGTCAGGAACATCAAGTTAGGCATTGCTATGCCTATTTTGTGCACAGAGGACAGGTGATATCTTCAAGTTTTCTAAATCTTCTAACATTTTTTGTCCTCTGATTTAATGTTCCTGATTCACAGCTGGATCCAAATTAATGGTTTAAACCATTATGTAAGTTTGCTGTATTCCCTGTCAAATATCTCTGGTGGTCTGATCAAGAATCTCTCTTCTTCCAAAGGACAAAAGTAGTGAGCAGAAAATGTATTCCTTCCGCTACCACAATGTATGATGTAGCTGGAATTTCAGGCAACATATTAGGGTTTCCCCAAACCAAAGGGTGTTTTCAGGCTTTTATGATACAGTGCTAATCTCATGCATGTTGCAGTTTGCAAGTCTACCTGGATTTTTATTGTATTTATTGGTTTCAATGGGAAAGTCAGCAATATCAGCATTATATCAGAATTAGGTATTTTAGACTACACTATCATGTATGGTGCAGTTTCCTCCACTATGTTTCCGACTAAATTTATGTCTTCAGAAAGAAGAGGAGGATCACAGACGCTTTATCAAAAGTTTTGTACTCTACTCCGATCTGGGTAAGGTCACCTGTTGAGATGAAGCTTTCTCATGGTTTGCCTGTATATTTATTAATCTCTTTCTCTTCTGTGTCTACTCTTCATATCCCCTGAATCTTACAGTCTAATCTTAAACTATACAGACAGGAAAAACTGACGATTTTAAAATATGATTACTACCATTTATTACTTTTTGGATGAATAACCCTTAATGCTTTACAGCTACATTTAGAGACTACTCTGGTCTATGTTATTAACAAATTACCTCTTTTGGTTTGACAGCCCTCCTTAGGCGCAGTCCCAAAGACCGAGAGTGGGACAGTGCCCCCCGGGCTGCAAGTGGTGCCGGCCAGCTTGCCGGGCCGCTCGAGAAGGCCGACCCTTCTCCTCTCCTGCCTCGCAGCCTCAGCTCCCGGCACTCCAGGCCCTCCACAGAAGTTTCCAGAGAAAAAGGGGGTGGCAGAGAGTGACTGGCAGGGCACCGGGGAGGGGTTTGGAAAAACACACATTGGTCTCCAGGGAAACCGGGGAGGAACTGGGGTAAGTGGCAGTAGCAGGGAGGGGAGGGAGAACCAGGGCAGAACCATCACAAAACATGGGGGAACAGAACATACCAACACAACACAACAATAGACTTTTTATTAATTGTGTCTTTGTTTTTTTCCTCAAGTCATCATTTGTAAAACTAAGGCAAAAAATCATATTGTATGATGCTCTTTGTCTTATCTGTTTTTTCCAGTTCCGCTTCATTACAATTCTTTAGGATAGATGTTTCGGTATATCTCCTTTTTTTTTTTTTTTTGTGTATTGTAGCAGTCTATGTTTTGGAACACTGAGTATTTTTTTTTTCCTTAATAATCCTATTCAGGCCCTGAAGTTTAGAAGTGGAAATTTCACTGCTTCTGTCTTGTCCCTTCACACTCTTAATCAGGGGTGTGTTTAGGGAAGTGAGTGTTTCACGGTGGATGTGAGACCCCATTTTCACAGTGGATGTGAGACTCTGCCTTTCCACCTATCTCCTCTCAGATCTCACTCCTGTATGATCCAGTGACAAGCTCCACTGTCAATGTCACTGTCAATGTGTCCTGATAAAGCAGATTTCTCTCATTCTGACTGTTGGGTCACTGTTTGTACTGGGATGAAGCTCTTCCTAGAGTGACCAGGGTTAGGGACCAGTCTTTTGCTTCAGAAACCACCTTTCCTCCATATCAGTTTACACAGGCACTGTAAAATTCAGTCGTCTTAATGAAATGACTAATTCTTAGCATAGTCAATAGCTTCAGAATAATTCATGTTTTAAGATGGGTATAGGAGAGACTGCATCAGTACTTGGGAAGTGTGTGTGAGGGGAAGGGAGCATTTACTGGTGCTTTATCAGGGGCCAGATGTGAGAGAGCTGGGAAGCATATTCAAGCTGCAACTTCTTTTTTTTATGTGACTTGGATCTGAAATGTATTCACAGAAAACAAGAAGACAAAACCCCATTTTTATTGATGGTTTCATACTTCTGAATAATAAATCAGCATCTGAAGAAAAATTTTTCTGCTTCTTCAAAGCAGTAGCTGCTTTGAGAAAAGTCCTTCAACATTTTTTTTTCTTTTTTTTTTCTTTTCTTTTTCTTCCTTTTAATGTTCTTCTAGCCTCCTTCTAACAGTTATGGAAGATCCAATTTTCATGGCATACAGAGCAGAGAAAGAAGAGGAGAAGAATCATCACTCAGGCAGACAGAGGAGATTTATGTCAATTGCAAAAACGTCTCACACAAACATAAGAAAAGATCATTAAGTTCTTTCTTAAGAATGAAGCAATCAAAGCACAGGCCTTTTATTTACAGAATAGACTTTATTTTCTCCATGCTGGCAAGATGTGGAAGGTCAAACTGGCTGTGCTGGTATGGCCTGAGCTGCTTTGGCAGGACAGTGACGACACCCCGGCTGTGCTGGTGTTGTATTGCAGCCTGCAGAGTTACCCTATCCCTTAATTCATATGCAGGATTAGAGACTATTTGTCCTTCTGCAATAGAAACACTTTTTCCTAGTAGGTGGACTCTTAAGGATCAATTTTAGAACAGCTCTAATATGCAGAATGGAGCTGCATATGTTTACATAAAGTTAATTTGGCCTGAGAAATCTATGTGTATGAGAAGCCTATGTGACAGGGTGAGAAAGAAAATGTGTTTGATGTTGTCTATGTTCATGGTTTTTGCATCTCAGATTGAGAGCTCTATGGAATAATAAATACCCATGATTTTCCACACAGGAGGTGTTATTTTGCTGCCGGGCAAACAGTGCTATTCAGCTGACAAAAGCAAATGTATCAGGGCTCCTTGAACCTAGATTTAAAAGTATGAACAGCAGCTTGGTATCTGACAGCTTTGTGGTTTTACAGGCTTCTTGCCACTCACCACAGCAATTTCAGTGTTTTCCTTTTGGGGATGCAATTGAAGTGTAGCCCCTGCTTTCCTCCCCAACTCCTTCACCCCCTTCATTCCCCCCCCGTGCCCAGAAGAAAACAAAACAGGAAGACTCTGTCACTGTCAGGTTATATTTAATAATTTATTATAAGGTTTAGTTGCGCAAAAAATAAATGAGAACGTGGAAGGTATATGAGTAAATGGTGCAAAGCAGAAGAAAGCATGACTGAGAACATTTACAAAACAATACACATACATATGTGGTTGTATGTGTGCATACGTATATATTCTGCTGAAACCTACAAAAGAAATCACACAGAAATTGAACAAACAGACAAAAAAATAAATCCTTAAACAAACAGAACTAGAAGGCAGACCTGAGAATTAGGATCTATGCATCTTTTGACCTTTTACAAATCTGCTGAATTACTGAGGACAGAATCCCAGTAAATGAAGGTGTTACCATGACAGCTGATAATCATGTCAGCTTACTGCAAACTGTGTGCCTGGCCCATCTATACCTGATTCCACTTTTCTCTTGAAGCATATGTAAAAATGTTGCTGGATACGGTATTTGGGGTTTTTGTTTGGGTTTTTTTTTTTTGAAAGGGTTTAGTGGTAGAGGCATCATGAGCCTGCCTACAAATCAGGTACTGGTTCTGCTTGGCTGGCTAGGAAGAGCATCACAGCCTGACAGCGAAAAGCACATTTTGCACAGCCTTCTCCAGTGGAAAGCTTTCTTCACGTGCACAGGAAAATAGGAACCTAGTTTCTTCTGAGAATAACATGGACACAAGGCTTCTCTTCACTATCTGAGCAATAATAGCATCATGTGGTTATCCTAAACTTCAGCTAAAAATCTAAAATCCTAAACTAAATGCCCTTTCAACTTATGCTGAAGACTTAACTTGTTTACAATGTCATATACCATTAAAAACATCTTGTTTTGGTTTTCTGTACTCCTGAACAAGGACACGTTGCAATGGATGTTTGGTTTTTTTAAATTTCACTTGCTGAAGGTTTTCAGATATACAAATGCTTGAATGTGAAATTGATGAGGATACACAGAACTGTACTACTAACAAGTTGGTTTATTTCCTGAGTTATCAAATGTCATAGCAGATAATTCTAAATTGTGCACAGCCTTACAAATGAAATCTTGTAGCATTGGGTCATTTCTTATGGTCCCCCTGATAGTAAAATGCCAAAATAACAATGTAATGGACTTGATTACACAGAAGGTCTCATTTGGAGAGACAAACTGGAGATACACAAACATCCATAAGCTGAGAAGATGGTATTGTTTTACTGCTTTTAGAGACCATCAGAATACATCCCTGCTTTACTGAGGGGAAAAAAAAAAGGGATAGGTTGAGGTTAAATATCTGGAATACCAGATTGTTTTGACTATTTGTGGTATTGCCCTTATTTCTTTTCTCTCTTGGTATTTTCAGCTTGTCTTTTTGAAATAATTGCTTATTTTTGAGATTTGAAGACAAAACAAAATCTATAGTGCACTCCTTTGCAGGTATGTAATCTGTTTTAATTCAAATACCGTAAACATATTAGTTCTACCAGTAGGATAATCCACAGGGAAAATCACATCACACATAGCATAATAAGAACAATATGTTATTTTTTTTTCAAAAAACAATCTCAAAACAACAGCTTCATTTTTGTACCATAGTAATATCAGTGAACAGCAGCTGAACAAGTGACAAGATAAAACCAAAAAGAAAACAACCCCAAACTTATCAATACTCTTATTGGTTTAAAAACTAGCAAGCTACACAAAAGAGAAACTTCCAAAAGCTCAATTTGAAATGCAATATTAGAACTCTTTAAATATTTTATCAGTCTGGCAGGTTGGGACCCAATATTTGTTATTTGGATTATGTAAATAGACTTTCCAGTGTAAACAAACCATTGTTTATTGCTGCTTAGTTTCAATATTTCCCATAGATTTGTCCTTTCCTTTTGGAATTTTAAAAAATTCTTTTGAATGAACTCCATCAACTGTAATTTGGAAATTTTATGTTGAACAGTTACTGTGCTATTTCAAGCTGTATCACTTGCTCAAATAGTTAAGAGGGAGGAAAAAAGAATCAATGAAGCAAAATGACACAACCATGGATAGTAACCAGCTCAGCATACCATCTAAACTGTAAAATAGTTCTGTGGGTTTTTTAAGGTCTTAGAAACTTTGCTGAAAGGAAATAAATGTAGTAAAATATATTGTCATTAAAAAAATGAGCTTTGAGTACCTTGAAGGGTATTCTAGGGTAACTACCATCTGTGTGATTTGAAAATGAATATATGAGATTAAAGAAAAGTAAAACCTTTTCCATAATAATAAAAATAATCTTTTTCATTGGGTCAAAAAGGGAAATGTTTAAATTCAATGTTCAAAGGAATATTCAATGATCAATAGTACAAAGTCTTTCAGGGGTGTAAACTCACATCTCTTTGAAAAAGACTTCTAAATGTAGGAAAGACAGTCACCAGAGTTTGAATCAACAGGACGAAAAAGAAACTCACAGTATACGAAAGAAGGTGAAAGTTAGAACCTATTATTTTCTTCATTCATTTCAGACACATTCCTTTACCTGAAAGAACTTCTCTGACTGTAATATGTTCATGACACTGCTCCTTCTGCTAGTCTTCTGCTCTCCCATGGCTGTGTGTCTTGGGGTAAAAAAATGATTCCGTGAGGAAACAGGCTGTTCTAAGGGCTGGACCCACCAAGGAACACAAGAAGCTGGGCACCCCCTCCTTTGGCAGGGTAGTTCAGCAATTAACCTTCTTTATGACCTCCACCTGATCTAAATTCCCACCCACCTTCTCTGCTAGGCACCTAAATGTTTTGGAGAATGCTCAGAAATAGCTTGTTCTAACTATACTGTGCAACTTAACCGCCTGCCTCCTCTCCAGGTCTTATCCCAGGACTAGGGGACAGGAGGAGAGGACCAAGGAAACACAGCAGGCAGAACAGGTGAAGTATAGCTGCTACCAGCATTTGCTAGTTTACTCCTGAGAGCTCCAAGTAAGAAACCTACTTCAGAAAAAGGAAAGATTTAATATTCAGAGGATTGATCTCACTACTGGTTTCAATTCTAGGGGTGTTTTTGTTTGTTTTGTTTTGTTTCTTTGTTTGCGTGCTTTTTTGTGTGTGGTTTTTTTTAAGGATGATGATTATTATTTTTGTAATCATAAAGATATCAGGGCACCAAGACTCTGGTTTTTCAAATTTACTTTTAAATCTTATGTGCATCATACTCCTTTAAATATGCTCAGTTACAGAGCTCTGTGAAAGCCCAAATCAATGGTATTTATTTACAGAAGCTGAAACTCTGCCTCTGTGAGTACTCCCTAGTGCAATTTCCTTCAAAGCTGAGATGCTCAATAGGAGTTAATCCTCTGAACAGCTTTGTAAGTCTGACACTAAAGGTTATTTCCAAAACCATCCTGTCTGTCTGCAAGATAGGTGCTAAAATGTTCTTTTAGGCTGCAGACCCCAGGAGTAGAAGCTGTTTGCCAAGCTCTCAGACTGTATTGTTCAAGGTGTAAGGAAGGCAACACAAAAGACATTTCCCAAACACACACATTCCTGGAGAGCCTTGTTGGGCTAGAGCACAAGACACACCTTCACATCTGTGCCTTGCTGGGGTGTAGTGGCAGGGTGAGCACTGCTCCTTTGATATCTCAGGCAAATGGTTCCACCCCCAGGCTAGAGACCCACAACAGTCTTCCAAACACTAAACTGGACCAGGCTTTTCACTGCCACCTGAAATGCTGGCTCATCCAGCATCCTTCCTGCCAAATCACTCAGGAAATGGGAGACCCTTCCCAGTTCTTTCCCGGCCTGCATCAGAAAAGTAAGCACGCTCTCTCCCTTGCCCTCTGAAGCTGGGCTCCTGCACAGAAACAACTCATATTTTTAGGATGAAGAAGAGCCTGCAGGCCTTGGTAGGACACTCTTCTACCAAGAGGGTCCTTGTCTCTGCTTTTGTCCATACCTTTTTTTTTATGTTGTTGTTCTTTTCTAATAGTAAAATGCATTGGGAGTTATGAGAAGAGGACAAGCATCTGGATAACCATGGCATAAATGAGTGATGAGTTTGCCTACATCTCCTTTCAATCAGGGGAGTGTCAGGAACTGTGATATAGCCTCAGCTGTGTGTCAGATACTACTGGGGTAGGCTGCCACCATGCCTCAGGACCAACTAGTGCCACTGCTCTGACTCATTTCTTGGCCCTGATAAGGCTTGATTTATAAAGCTGCAGATTTACCTTACTATCTGTGCTATAGTCTTATATATCCCTACATATAACTTAGGATATAATGTTTGAGCTAGAAATGTCAAAGGAAATGTACAAAGCTATCTAACACACATTTCAAAAGATTATTTCCACACTATCCAAATTTTTAGCCTGTATAGTTAGATAAAATAATTAATATGAATTACTAGCCATGGCTGACACATTTCTTCTAACCTTATGCTTACTTAAAAAGACAACTTTGTAATTTTACAAAAAAAGCATCTCAGTGGCTCTAAAGGGTATTTAACACCTGTCTTAACAGTTTATTCAATTAGATTGTTACACTAAATAATTAATTTGTAGCATTAACCAGTAAATTTTATAAAATTATTT